CCAGCGACCTAGAAAGGTTGGGGCGAAATTCACAGGAACAGGCATAGCTCCAGATGAGCACGCTCAGGTCCAGCTAGCTTTGGACTATGATGGAAAACGTGATCGCTGGAATGGGTATGACCCAGAGGAACACCAGCGCATTGTTGAGGAGTACGCCAAAGTAGATCTGGTAAGCAGCCGAGTCTAAAGTTAAACTTTGTTAAACTCTGGAGTGTTTATTTTATTTGACAAGGAAAAAGACAAATGTTGTGGAACTATATGACTGCCTTAAGACATCCCTGTCCCTTTCCAAGCTCATTCTTATAACGAACTAAACTGTGGACAACATGTAGACAGAGCAGGTATTGATTTATTTTGCGCCCTTCCTTACCGAGTGTAAAGACTTTCTATGGCTTACTGCTAGATGATATGTTCTTAGCTGACGATACTGGGACATGCTCCTTTTACTGTCCTGTTGTGTGTAACGGCAACATCAAGGTCAAAACATTGTGTTTGGTTTGTGTTGCCGACGTCCAGTGTACAGCATGACTGATTTCTGATTTGTTGTTTCTTAGGCTAAGAGGACACTGAAGGCACAAAAACTTCAGGATGAGTTGGCCTCAGGAAAACTAGACCAAAGTGTAAGTGTTCAGTAATAACAAGGTGATAGTAGTGGATTGCATTGCTGTCTAATTTTAAATATCCGACTAAAATGTAATTCTTTGAATCCTTTGTTTGCAGGAGCGGGAACATGACAGTGAGGATGAGGATGAAGACAAATATGCAGATGACATTGACATGCCGGGTCAGAACTTTGACTCCAAGAGACGAATCACTGTCAGGAATCTGCGTATCCGAGAAGACACGGCTAAAGTAAGAACTGAAAATGAACAATTTTATTTTTACTTTTTCTGTCTCTGGTGATGATAAATGGATACAGAGGGGACATTTGGTTCCCCTTAATGTCCATTGTTAAATAATTTGATTGATGAAGTGAGGTGAGGAAGTGTTACCAGTTGAGATGCTCCAAATCTGATATTATATCTGTTTCTCACAGTACTTGAGAAATCTGGATCCAAATTCAGCATACTATGATCCCAAGACTCGAGCAATGAGGGAGAACCCGTACTACAACACTGGCATGAACCCTGACGAGTAAGTTACTGGTACTGTGTTGATAACTGTACTGTAGTTGTCGCTGACTTACACTGGAATTGTTTTAAAACGGTTTTGTCTTACAGAGTGGGCTACGCTGGAGACAACTTTGCACGCTACTCTGGAGACACAATCACCATGGCTCAAACACAGTGTAAGCCACAAACATATTTTCCTGTTCTCTTGAGCACCTAATTTACCTCTTCCTCCAGTTTTTCTAATAGCATTTTGCTGATATTACAAAATATACCAAGTATTTTTCTCCTATGCAATCGTTAGTGTCTAATGTTGACTGAAATGATAAGTGTGTTTGTGCTTTAAAAATACTGAAACTCCTTGTGGTTACATTATTGAGTGTTGTTGCACAACGACTACACAGAAATTGAAGGCTACAGTCATATCTTGTATATATTAAAACCTGCTCAACAGTGGTTACAGCTTCTATATTTTTAAAACTGTAACATGTCATCTCTTTTAACGGTAGCTGAGTTTGGCTGCCTGAAGGTTTCCTCCTTACCTGTACAATGAAACATAGCTAAATTAAAGCAAAAGCTTGTCTGCTTTTGTGACATAGCATGGTAGATATGAAACCAAAGGTAGCATTGATCATAGCTTTATAGCAAATAATAAATATGATGAATTCTCTACTTTCTAGTGTCTGATAAGACCACAAAACTGGATTCACTCTGACAAAAGTGTTGCACTTCTGTGTACTGTCCCCTGCAATAATTATCCTCGTCTTGTGACAGTGTTTGCCTGGGAGGCTTATGAGAGAGGCTCTGAGGTGCATCTGCAGGCCGACCCCACCAAGCTGGAGCTGCTCCATAAGTCTTTCAAAGTCAAGAAGGAGGACTTCAAAGAAAAACAGAGGGAGAGCATCTTAGAGAAGGTATGCACTTGGCTCATATGACTGTAAAAAAAAAAAAAAAAAAAAAAAAAAACCCCTGAAAAATAGCAATTTCCATGTCTGGAGAAATTATTTTGCTGTCAAAGATCTAAATCCGTTCTTGGTGGATGTGTCTCCCGTTGTAGTGTTGGAGAACTTTCTTAGAATTCTAGTGACACCATGTTTCTGTCATGACTGTCAACTTGAGCCTGGAACAGCCCAAACTGTAGTGTGTATCCTCAAGTGTTTACACTGAATGCTGACCTAACTGACAGGGTTCCTGCTTTTGTGTCTTACTATCAGTACGGGGGTCAAGAGCACTTGGATGCACCGCCGAGGGAGTTGCTGTTGGCCCAGACAGAGGACTACGTGGAGTACTCACGCCACGGCGCTGTACTGAAAGGACTTGAGAAGGCTGTCGCCCGCTCCAAGTATGAAGAGGACGTGCTCATCAACAATCACACTGTAAGAACAACAGAAGCATTACTCCTATGCCTGTCTTGCTGAGTTTGGAACACTTTAGTCAGTGTATTTAAAAACGTTTCTTGTTTTCAGTGTATTTGGGGCTCTTACTGGAAAGACGGCTGCTGGGGGTACAAGTGTTGTCACTCTATGGTCAAACAGAGCTACTGCACAGGAGAGGCTGGAATTGGAGTAGTGAGTACATGCACTGACGTCGTTTAAAGAGTCTGTTGGATACACACAGGATATCAGGTTTTATAATGCCAGCTTTGTAACCTTTTTATCTTCAATAACCCACAGAACAATACAGATTGTGTTCCATTTGAAGAGGGACTAACTGAGCCCCAGGAGGAAGAAGAGCCCAAGTCTCTGTTGGAAGTAAGTTACACTGGATAGATTTAAAAATGTAGCAATTAATGACAGTAAAAAAAAAATAATTAAGAGTTAATTTATTGTAGGTCAGAAATGTAGAGCAAATTTTGTGTTCATTATATCACTGTTTTCCATCACTAGATGCATCGAGAGAAGATAAAAGAGAAGAAGAAGAAAAAGAAGAACAAAAAACACAGGAAGCACAGCTCTGATAGCAGTGACTCGGAGGACGAAGAGAAGAAGAAGGAGAAGCTGAAGAAGGTAAAAATGTTTTGTAGTTTTTAAATGCCCAGTCGTGGAGCAGTTCAAGTTCTCTGTTACTGACCTCCAACCTGTTCCTTCCTCTGTAGGCTCTGGAAGCAGAGGACAGGCGAGTGAAGCACATAGAAGCAATAATGCAGCTGGATGAGAGGAAGAGGCCTTACAACAGTCTGCAGGAAGTAAAGGCGCCCACTGAGGAGGAGATGGAGGCCTTCCGCATGAAACGCTGCCGGCCAGATGATCCTATGGCTTCCTTCCTGGGACAGTGACGTCCTCTTATTCCCTCCTCTCTCCCCTAAACTCCCCCCAGAACTCTACCAGAGCAGCAGCTCGGTGAAAAATAACGTCAGATTCGTAAAACTCTACTTCAATCTGGTAAACTTACAGCGGCGCTGGTGTTTGGTTACAAATGCTAGAAAAGTAGAAAAAGTATTTTGTAAATTTCATTCACACACTTTTTGTATTTAAACTGCAGGTCAACAGACTGTAGGACATAGATGAAGTGTGTTTTTGTTTATACTCAGTTCTACAGAAAATATTGGAAAATTTCTCTGATGCCCATTTTATAAACATTTCAGTCAAATAAAAGGCTGCCTCGGTCTTTGCCGTAATTTGAGGAGTATGACTAGTTTTTGTGAGGTTAATGCATTTTTTTTATAATAAAATATTGTTTTTGTCTGAATTCAGTGTGTTGTTTAGAAAGGGTTTTTTTTTGTTTGGTTTTTTTTTACAACTATGCTTTTGTTTGTTTTATGATGATGCACATTCATCAGTATCACTATAAATCTGTAAAAAGTCTAAAAACACTTCTAACTGGTTTCCCACAGCCAGATGTTACAGATCCCTTCCCCACATAACATATACAAATAGTCTGTGATTTCCAAAACACGAAGAAAAAGGTCTCTTGACTCTTTAGAAGTACTTAGAATTTGATCTACTCCTCCAACTTTGAATGGTCCATACGAATCTGTAAACACATTTCAAATATTTTCCTGATGGGTAACACACTTGTGGAAGTTGTATACTGGAATATAATTGCCTTCCAAGCAAGTTCTGTTGCCGCAAAATCATCCCATACATTATGTAGGTTTTAGATTTAGATTTAAGGTAGCCACAGACTAACTTTGACTCCCTAAGCAGACGAATGTGTTAAAACTCCTGAGTGTCAAACTCCATCCAGTAAAGGTTAAACATCAAAGCTGGGTAATAATAAGCAGAACATTTTAAAGTGTTTAAATCAACTACTTCACCAGCCATATCAAATGCTGCTTGTCTCACTGACAATAAATGTTGAAGTATGTTGTGGAATCTGAATTCATTCATGTTTAAACTGAATCTGAAATCTACAAGGCAGATATGAACAGATTGTAAAGTCTTTGTGTGTTCATGTGTAATTTTTTTTCTTTTTCTGGCTAAAAGTTTCTCATAGAAAACAGCAACACAACAACAACTAGTTTAATTTCCATTCACATGGTTCCAGTTAAACATGAAAATAGTAGATTGTTAAATATAAGGCACTGCCTCACCTAACAGCTGCAGCTGTTTTATTGCTCTCTTGGTTCTTGGCTCTTCATCACAGTGATAAACACAAACACATTTGGTAGCATTCATAGTTCATTTCATACAGTGCTGCAGACCACCTTGTTCTGCTGATTTTCCACAATATTATTGTTTGAAATACACACAGTGTTAAAAACTACAAGGCCTAGTTCCATTTTCAACACATCTGTTATGTCATATTTTATTTTCTCACAGTAAGAGTTTGTGAACAAGTGATGCGTCACTGCTTCAGCTGTTCAACACTGTTGCACTGACTTGAATTTAATGACATCATGGTGAAAGTATGTTTTGGCACAGCACTAGCATAAATAGGGCGGATGTTACGGACTATGATTCTCTGGGCTGCACATTTCTCTGCAGTGCTCCTCTTGGAGAATGCTATCTCACCCGTTTACCGGAAAATCATGTAGGAAGGTTTGTGCGCTCTCATGCAGAAAAAGGGCTCGGACAGAGCTGCAAAATGCCCGCGGGTCATAATTTCTCAACTGGTGAGTTGTTTCTCTGTGTTTTTAAAATGGCTGATACCCTTTGTAAAACATGCTGCAAGCTGCATTTTTTTCTTTTTCTTTAACCAGTACATCATAGACTAATCATATTTATAGCATGAAACTGATCCCACCATTTAGATACATGCTGACATGTTTGTTCATCTGGTGTTATGCATGTACTCTGCCACCACTTTTCATTTCTGTTTCTGGAAGAGTCAAGGTTCTTTGTTAGCAGACCATTGCATCATCTGATTATGACTGGCATGCAAACCCCAAATCAAATTTAATGTTGTAAACAGTTGCTTTCCTTTGTCTTGTTGTGACCCCACAGTACCCATCATGCTCCAGATGTGTGTGATGATTTGTTTGCTGTCAGCGGTTGTCTCGCAGTCAACAAATTCCTCATCCAAAAAAGGCCGTAATATCACCATCCACTCCTCCCAGCTGGTCTGCAGCCTGCCTGGCCCAGCCGGGCCTGCGGGGTACCCCGGAGCCTCTGGATCTCCGGGGGCCATGGGCCCCATGGGGCCCCCAGGAAAGGATGGCCCGGATGGGCAGGACGGAGAGAAAGGAGAAAAAGGAGATCGAGGTAATTATTGTCTGACTCTCTTTTAACAAAATGTAACTTTAATGATGTGTTTGGAGTCCTGAAGGACCCTCTTAAGAAACTTAAAAACATACATAACATTGTTTTATACACTTGATGTTTCATGAATTTCATTGTTTTTTAACATAATTGCTCATTGAAATGATAACATGATTAAGAATTTTATCATAAAAAGTGTCATATTGCTTCTGGTTAAATGCAACAGAAGTTCATTATGCTGTATATCTGTCATTGGTGTTGATTGTAGCTTTATGCAGCACGACTGCTAAAACACCTAAAATGAAATTCATGAAAATAAAAGTGTTTCATTTAAGAAGAAACTAGAATCAAAGCCTTGCAGTTGTAAGTCTCCACCAACCACTCAAATGGCAGTTTCCATCCATGTCTGTCTAAACTCATATAATATTTGTAGTGATGGCTTCAAAGTTTACTGAGAGAAACAAAACTCAGAGTCAAATACCTTGTTTGACTGAATCTGATGAAACACTAAGTTGTAGAAATGACAGTAAACAATATTTAAAATATGGCTGCTGCTGCTGCTGGAAAGAAGCCCCAAATTGTAATATGTGGATGTTTCCAACACATCTTCTACCCAGCAGATCAGAAGATCTACACAGTTACCACAGTTTCAAGGTGAACATCCAGGATCATGTCAACAATTTAGTGTTTCATCAAATGTGAATTATGATCACAATCCATGTTCTGAGTTATAATATTAAATAATGGCCAAGAAAGGGGATTTGCACAACATTATGATATAATGGTAAAATTGACTATTGCCTTCTTGCATATAAATATCAGAATCAGTCTATGAATTCTTAAATTATGGCCAAAAATGTTATTTTTTGTGCATTTACAGTGGTTTTGACTTTTGACCTTTGACCACAAAAAATAAGAAGAAATTTCCTCAAGGTGTTTCTGAGATATCACCTGAAAACATCAAGCCTCTGGCCACAGCTGTAGCTTGAGTGGAGGCCTAAAAATAAGTAAACACAACCCATGTCGCAAACAAAACATGAATCGTTCTTCAAATGTCAAGGTACTTTGCTTTTAAACCAAAAGAAAATGGCAACTGCAAAAGTAAAAGAGTACTGAATAACTCCATAAACAGATACTACAGCTTTGAAACTCTTTTTGTAACTTGCAGTCTTTCTGCTCTTGACTGAATATTTTTCACCCACTCTTCGCTGCAGATCACAAGTTATATGTTTAGTGATATTTCTAGGCTTCCCCCACATTGATCAGTGATATTCAGTTCAGGGGAAAGAGAATCCACTCCAGCAGCACTCAGCCTGCGTTTCTTTGAAGTAGTTTATGATGCAGTCTGTGCTCACTGTCCTGTTTTCAGTCGGACTCACTGCACGATGTTTGTAGTGGAATCCATTCGCTCCTCTATCTGTGCTGGGGTTCTTGTGCCACACAGCACCAAAGCAGAATATTTTCCTGTGTGTTTACTAGTTAACAAGGTGTTCTTTTCATCTAAGCACAGTTTTATCCGTAAGTGTTTTTGATCTTCCAGATCTTGTCTTGACATCCACACTTAACTGCCATTTCTTAATGACATTTCAGATAGTGGAAACTGCAAGCTCAGGGTGCTTTGATATCTTTTTATAGCCCTCACTTGCTTTGTAGGCATCAATTAGCTTCATTTTCAGATCCTCAGTCAAGTTGCTTAGAGGAGCCTGTGGTTGTCGAGTGTCACCACAAGGTCTGAGGAGGCAGACGGTTTATCAGGCTCTACAGTTATCATCAGCTGACTCCTAATGACAAGTCCTAACGTGCAAATTAAAGTCAACTTAATGAGTGTTTTACAAGCAAACCTTTGCAAATAACCTTTGGAAATAATGTTTGCAAATGCCACAATTATTGATTTTGTTTTAACTTTATAGCCCTTAACATTTGACGAAAAATTGTTTGTGTGTTTGCTGCAGAGTATTTAAATGTATTTATTTTATCAGCAAAATGTAAAAATTATTTAAATTAATTACTAGCATATAACTAGTCTATCTGGACTTCTGTTTTATAATTATTTGCTCATAAGATTTTAAACAGGAAGGGACCCTTCTGTTGTTAGTTTTTATCAGTTTATTCACAGTGAGGAATAAAGTCTAATCCCTTAGGAGCTTTTTAATACTTGTGTACAGCAGAAGCATAGTATTGTCATCCTGTCATCATTCTGTCTGCTGTCAGGTGATCCAGGGAGAACCGGGAACCCAGGAAAGCCAGGTGTGAAAGGTCGTGAAGGCGTCATAGGCAAGGCTGGACCTCGGGGGCTGAAGGGACTGCGTGGAACACCAGGGGTGGCTGGAAAACAGGGGACAAAAGGAGAGGTGGGCGACATGGGACAGCAAGGAGCTCCTGGTGGCTGCAACTGCGGCAGCACAGCCCGATCAGCCTTCTCCGTGGCTGTGACAAAGAGCTATCCAAAAGAGCGAATGCCCATCCGCTTCAGCCGGATCCTGCTGAATGAGGGAAACCACTACAACACCACCAGTGGGAAGTTTGTCTGTGCTATCCCCGGGGTCTATTACTTCACCTACGACATCACACTGGCCAACAAGCACCTGGCCATTGGGCTGGTGCACAATGGACAGTACAAGATCAAGACATTTGATGCCAACACAGGGAACCATGACGTGGCGTCTGGTTCTACGGTTCTCCAGCTGCAGCAGGCAGACCAGGTCTGGCTACAGATCTTCTACTCTGAGCAGAACGGACTCTTCTTCGACCCTTTCTGGACAGACAGCACCTTTACTGGCTTCCTTATCTACGCTGACCAGGACTTTCTCAATGAGGCGGATAAAAAAGCAAATGCTCAGGCTGACAGTTAATGCTGTAGTCCAGAAAAATCTTTGTTTTGTTCCCTTAACTGATTTCAATCAATATCAAAACGAGAACTCCCTTCAGCTTCAGTCAGTTTCAGCTGTTTAACAAGTTCTGACACCAGGGGGTGCACAAGAAAAGAAACAACATGCAGCTGCTAAGCCACTCAAAAAGGCTTTCATTTTGAACAAAATGTATTTTGGCTTCAATTTGTTGTTATGCTCTATCTGAATATTTTAAACATTGACTCTAATAGTCGCTAAATTATTTTAATTCCCTTTGTTCTTTTAAATTTGTTATAGAAGGTGGTACAATGTCATCTTCTGTGATGCAGTCTTTTTACTCACAAAAACACAGTTTTAACTACAACCAAAGCAATATTGTGATAATAATGTTATTCTATTATGTGTTCTTGAGTATTTTGTATAAGATGTACTTTCTCTTGATAAAAACAAACTCAATAAATGTAAACCTACAATTTTGTAACTCTGGTATATTATAATTCCTGCATTTGTTGCATAATGTTATGATGCATGTAAAATATAAGATAAGTTAATACAACGGAGGCGAGTTCACCGCTGTACAATGCGACCTAAACATCGATTCACCTTCCAGTAATTGTTCTGCTTCTGTCTTGAACAGTTCTGCATTTGCTACTATGCAAATTTTAAACTAACAATTATGACTTATTAGATAAAAAATACAGACTCCACAGTAGGAACTTGAGACAACAGCAGTCAACACACCTTTCATTACTGAGATGTAAATTTCATTTTTTTTAGTACTCTATATTTCCACCTTTATTTCTGATGGCAGATTCAATCATCCTCGGCATGTAGGATATCAGTGTTACGTAGAAATGTTCTGCCATTCTTCAGAGATGTTTTTTTCTTTTCAGCTGTTGTTTGCTGGAGGGGTTTTGTTGCTCTACCTTTCTTTTTAAAGTACCCCAAAGGTATTCTATTAGATTCGACTCAGGTGACATACTTGGCCAGGCTATAGTTTTTGGCAGCATGCTTTGGATCGTTATCATACTGAAATATTCCTCCACTGCCAAGACTCTGCAGACTGGGAGTCATCTTGTCAGCCAGTATTTTAGTATTTCCACAGGCATTTACGGTGCTTTCTATAAACATCTGCACGCCAGCACTCTCTGCACTCATGCAGCCCCATATCATCACACTCCCACCTCTGTGTTTAACTGTTGGGACTATGCATTCACTGTGGTGGTCCTGACGAGGTTCACACCAAACAAACTCAACTCCATCTGGGCTGAATTATTATTATTATTTTTTTTAATTCTATCACAAAGTTAATCTTCCATTTTTGTACCAAACAGCAAGTAAGGGTGTTTTTCCTGAACTCTGTCCATAGAGGCTGGAATTATGCCTGCTACTTCATACTGTCTAAGCTGTGGCAAAAACTCTAGTGTCCCTTGTCTGAACACTTACCTGTTTTAGTTTCAGTCTGTGGCATCATTTTAGAAGGACAGACACTGCAGCTCTGAATAGTCATACTTTGACTCATTCTGTATCTCCTGATTACTACTACAGCTTTTTTTTTTTTTTTTTTTTTAGCTGATTTTTGGTTGTTCATATATCCTCCTGTGTACTTTTCCACCTTTGTGAAGTCTTACAATAATTTTTTTAATATCCTCTGGCAATTCTTGATGTGACATACAGATTTGTGTGGACTTGCAGATAGACACGGATCATAGACCCAAAAGCCCCCACGGCAACAAAATAGAATTTACATTTTTTGTGTGAAATGAGCTCCTTTACTTTTTATGCTTGAGTAACTTCTTTGTATCTGTTGTTTCTGATGAAAAGCGTGTCAGCTGAGTTCTGTAGTCTGGAGTTAATCAATAGATTTTTGGTTCAGCAAGGTAAAAAGGCTGTTGGAGTAATCTTATCATGATGAGATAGAATCCTGCTAAATGGTGTCTGTATTCAATTCAATTAATTTTTAATCACTTCAGCCAGTTCAGATCATGTCACCTCAGGGCACTTCACATAAGTAAGGACCATAAAAAAGCTGAGAAACCCAACAAATCCGTTCGCTTTGGAATTCCTCTAAGCAAGCACTCGACTACTGTGGAAAGAAAAACTCCTCTTTAACAGAAGGAAACCACAGAACCAGGTTCAGGTACGTGGCTCTCTGTCTCAAATGGCTGGGATGAGGGTAAAGAGGCGCGAGAGCAGGACAGCAAATAGTAAAGAGATGCCTGCAGAGAGGACAAAAGACAATCTATGGGAGAAAGAAGATGCAAATTTAGTGAAGAGCAATGGTGGTATATAAACATGTAAAGAGAGAAAGAGGGAAAAGGTGTCTGATGCATCATGGGAATCTGGGCCAACAGCAGTCAAAGTAAGGGATGGCTCAGGGTCACCTGATATAAGTTTCAGTTTTTACCAAAAAAAAATTGTGTATTGTTATAAAAAGAAAAGTTTCTTGTTATAACATGATCTAAAGAAGAAAACTTTTTACATGACATGAAACTGTTCTGTTTTTTTCTGTACTTTGCAGACCACAAATTTAAAGAAATGTACAAAAGTAGTTAAAATATATGTCGATATAATAGATATATATATATGGCACTTATCTCGATTGTTTTCTCCTGACTAGATCCTTGATTGTGTTGTATCTGCTCTCAGATTTACATGGCTTTGGATAAAAGCGTCAAATTAAATTGTAGAATTGTAGAATATACAACGTATGTTGTCAGTATAATATAATATAATATAATATAATATAATATAATAGTAACCTGCTGAGCTGTGGCGGTTTGTAGTTCTCAGACTGACCTCTGTAGGACTACAAATCCCAGGCTGGAGGAGGGACCTTCACGTCGAGCGCACGAGCCTCGCTCCACAGCAGCAGCTGGTGCAGCCGAAGAGGCTACTTTGTTACAGCGGAGCCACCGGAGAGAAAACGGCTGAACGGAGTCTCTCGGAAAAGTGTGAACAGTTGAGGGAAAACGGCGCAACCGAAGGCCCGTCGGCGAGATTTAGCGGTGGCGGCTGCTTTATGACCTCCTCGGCGGATTTTAACTTTGTGTTTTCGCCGTCAAAAAAGAGCTCTTTCTCAAAGTTGAGCCCGAGAGGAGTTCTCTCATTCAGGATGTCGGACTGAGACAAAGGGGTCTGGGGGGCATTCCCGTCGGAGCGGTGAGTGGTACATCCAACAAACACCGAGATGAAAAGTTCGCCAGCTCTCTGCCCGGTACGAGGGATGAGCTGAGTTTGTGTCGAGGCGTCTAGTTTAGTGGCAGTGTGCTGTTTTTGTTTCCCAAACGAGGCCAGTATTTGTGAGCTCGGTGGGCAGTTAACTTGTGTAGCCTCACTGTGTTTGGCCGCTGTCTCGTGGTGCAAAAGCGTTTACAGTGATGACCAAAGTGTGGGATTTGTTCGTATTTAGTCGTTGCTGTGATGAAGCACGTCCACAGCGAGCTTTTCTCAAAGGCTCAAGTGATGAATTTGACCTACGGCGTGGTCGGGTGGACATTTAACTGAGCCATTTAAATTCCCGAGCAGAGAAAATGGCCTATGCGGGCAACGAGACCTCTGCTGTGAGATTAGCAAGGTGCCCAAAAACTTTATCAAAACCACGGCGTTTTGAAATAGCCGTGTGTTGTTGTTGTTCGTACAAACGCCAATCTCTAATTCAACAAACCCGACGTTATATTTAAATCAGAAAATTTGGCTACAATTCAACTCAACCCTCCACTAACACCTCGGATTTTTCCACTATTGCTCACCACTCTCAGCCTCCTTGAAGTGTTTGAACTTTGTCTCGTTTTGCATCCGTGTGTCTCAGCAGGCAAAACTTGATTCTTGAAGCCTCCTCTGAATGGGAAAGATGGAGAGGGAGTTGCAGTGGTGGAAAGGACAGCTAGCTGCAGATATCCATCAATCCCTCCGCATCAAGGTGAGTGAGTGCCATCAAGGACTGCTTCAGTTTAATAGGAAGCTGTTATTATGCTGGCAGGACGAGCCAAACCTGTGTTGACTGCGAGAAAACTTTAAATTTACACATTAGGTCAATTATTTGACAAGCTTTTCTCTCTGAAAATAGCTGTGTGCTGCCAAGTTAACTATGCAAAATGAGTAACTGGTTAAGTACATTTTTACTAAATATGTGAAGAATTCCCCTCTATTCAAGCTCCTGGTGTTTTCAGTTTTTGTTGTGATTCCTGCCTTGGTAAACAAAATATTCTGGGGGTTTTTAGATTACTGATTGGACAAAACAAGACATGTTCACAAGTCACTATGGGAAATTTTAATTGTTCATTTTAGAGACCACGCAATTGATATTATCAGTACTACTGCTAATCATCGTTATTTAAACTTTTCTAAATCCACCAAAATATAACAATACAGTCATAAAAATCAGACACAAACACAGATTAAAACGCTACATGGTGCATAAAAGAACAATACAGTGTTTGAAAAGATCAAAAATATGATACAGAGTAATAAAGGACAGTGTAATGGAAATTTAACTTGAATATAATCAGGAAAAGCTCTCAGATTTAAAATAGAAAGTACTGTACTAGAAAGAAAAAAGAGGTTATGAACTGAATTAGCCCAGACTACAATGAAATAATGCATCGTTGTACTCGTTGCAATGACAATAAAACAAATCTGAATGCAAGCATTTTTAAATAGCAACCCTTTTTGAAAATGTTCACTATTTCTGAAATCTTCTTGAATAAATGACTGCTTGAATACAATGCAGATATATTGATAAAGAAAACAAGAGCTGTGTTGATATTCCACAGCCGCATCTCAACAAATGTAAAGTTGGGAGGAAAATATAATTACACGGTCCTGTTGTCTACTTAAACATGATCTAAATTAGATTACATGGAGGAGTTAAGGCTCATTAATTGAGAATGTCTTAATTAACCTCGAAGCGTGATCATATTTCTTCCCATGTGTCACTTTAATGGAGACATCTGTCACTTGACTGGCGTTTCCAAGCCGAGACTCTCCTGCCATCATCGCACTGACGGAGATGAAACGCGGATCAGGTTTTGAATATCAGGTGTCCTAATGCGCCACGGATTGAAACTGGAATGAAGACTATCGTATACGAGATTGTGAATTAGATGTTTGTGAGTCGTGTAATGAGTCACTTACTTACACACTGTTTGATTCAGTTTACTCATGCTGGACAGTGTCTGACTCAGAGCGAGCTGTCAATTAAACCGAAATCTGTACGCAGGGCTGGAAACTAAACAACACACCCACGCATTTCTCATATAGTATAATGAAAGAGAGAGCGAGATGCTGTCAGTCTAATGTTAGGTTTTCATTGCCCTGTATCAGCATTTTTTGTGAGATCTTAAGCAACAGTCTCACCACAGTATATAATGTGCAATACAATGCCCTTGTTGTAGGTGGTACGAACTTAAAATAGATAAATATCTGATATGTGTGGTGAACTGTGGAATGTTTTAAGTGACACATTAGAGTTAATGGCTTATTTAGAGGCAACATACTTTACACTTGTATTAAAGCTGACTGGAAACCTGCCTGTGTTTTCCACCTAGTCAGTCAGTCAAACTGTGCTGAACAGGGTTTTTCCCCAGTTTTTCCCCAGATAGTGGAACTTGTGATGCATAAAGGTACTGACAGAGTTTGGGCATTTCTCCAACAAGACAATCGTGTTTATGTGTGATATTTCTTTGCCATGAACTTACATCTAGTTCTCATGGTGGCAGGTGTGCCCCACTAAATAATCTCGGAAATTCACAAAGTCGTAGATCGTTTTGTTTGTTCTCGTATTGAAATAAAGTATAGTTGATTGACAGAAAATGTGTTTGCTTAGTCCCGTTCACAAAGAAGGGTGAAAAACTGCTTTGCATAAAAGGCAAATGAAAAGATCATTTGGTTAAAAAAAAGAATTTGATGGAAAAAGATAGTATTAATATAAAATAGAATAAGGTAGGCTCAGCTTGATAAAAGAAATTACTGCATACCTACATGATATGAATAATTAGCACCAAATTAAATGTAATACATGGCTGTGACAAAAAAAAAGCCTTGATTTGAATTGGAGGAGATCTAAAGTTTTCTGCCTTAAGCTGCCTTAATAATGAAATGATTTGTTTATGTAATTTTCAGTTAAAAATGCCCAACATGGGCTTTTTCCTGCTTCTCAGATTTGAAAATTTGCTGCTTTTTAAGGTTGCAAATTGATTAAGTTTGAGAGAAAGCTGTTTGATGTGGCCTCATATGTGTATTGGTTAAACTCTTTATGCAAAAAAAAATACACCGACAAGGCAGATTAATTTTATAGCAATATCAGTCAGTTACATGATTGTCAGTGCTGTTGAAAGACTTGACGATAAGTGGTGGTTGTTGGGTGTTTTTAAATTAAACGGGTTATTGGAAAGTGCAGTAAATTTGTAGTGGAAAAAGAATGGTGAAATCAGGATCAGAGCTGTGTGTTAAAAAAAGGCCTTCACACAGTGTTCAGATTTCCTGCATGGCGCCTGCTCCCCCACAGCCTCATCCAGCCTTAATGACGTTTGCTGCAGTGATAATGCCCTGATGTGGGAGATAGTGGCTGTGTGTAGCATGTGGCAAATTATCAGACATGCAAATCAGTAGGCAGCTGTGGAATCCTTAATTATGGTGCGGATCCCCCACAAAGGCACCTCTCCCCACCACACACAAACTAACCAACCCCCCCCCTCTAGAGCCCCTCCAGACTCCAGCAGCCTCTCCCCCCCTTCACATCTACCCCCATTCTCCTGCTGCCCTTGTACTCCCAGACAGACAGATGGACCAGAGGCAGAGGCAGTGGGAGGAGAGGAGAGGAGAGTTTGGGGAGGATTGGGTGATATGGTAGGTCATGGCACCGGGGGTGGTGCTGCTGTATGTTGATTTGGGGGGGGGGGGTTACTGTTTATTTTTGGATTCCATTGAAGTGTCAATCTGAGCATCATTGTTGTTTTAGTTGCGCTCAAAATAAATACTCGACAGTTCGTGTAACCTCGACAGTGTTGGTAGTTTTGACCTCATTGCAAATTGTGTTCTGCAAAGTATCAACTGCGGCATGTAATTCAGTAAGTTTGCTTTGAAACGCAGGAGGTCTGCAGCTAACCATTATTTTCATTATTGATTAGTCTGCCAATTATTTCCTTGATTGATTGTCAATTTTTCCTTTAGCCTGAGCAACAGTCCCAACCCCCAAATACATAATTAACTGTAATGGAAGAACAAGAAAGAAATCTGAAAACCTTGAAGCACCAAATGTTTGATATTTTTTGCTTTTAAATGTTATCAAGTTTTAAAGCAGTTGCAAATTATTATTTTTTTTAAATCGGTGTCAATCCTAAAGTAAGGCTTGGCCTGTTTGAACTAGTCTGCTGGATATTCCTAAACAGTCTTGACATGATGTGTATGTTTTCTGTATTTTTCCTTTATTTTAAGGACCCCTCACTGACCCTAAGGAGATTAATCTACCAACCCTCAATCTCTTATTAAATCCAAAAGCTCTTACAGACTTACACAGAGCAAAAAATATTTTTGAAAACAAAAATATTTTCTATAAGCGGCTTAAACGCAGAGAAAATAACTGTTCTGCGAGCTTGTACGTGCAGTTCTAAAAGTCTTTTGTTTCTTACTCTAAAGCAGATTGTGAAACTGGAACCTTTTGCTCTCTGCTGTTCTGTTGCTGATTGAGAAGATACCCAAGGCTGATTCAATGCTAATGCCCCCGAGTGTCTTCCTTCCACTTTGAAACACATGCAGCTAATTGAACATGAATAGGAGATGTGCTAGGGGTGAAACCTAATCCTATCTGCTCCTCAACCACCACTGGAGAGAGGCCCTCCCCTCCCCATACCACATACACACACATGGCACACACACACCCTCAGCCCATTGTTCAGAGACCCCTGCAATGACCCAAATTAGCTCCAGTTCTCTGCAGCAATGGTGAATTAAATGGAATTGAAATGAGGCAGAATCATAATCAAGAACTTTCTGTATTAAATTGAGTTTTATTTTTGATAGGGCTATTTTATACCCACACCAGCTCTCCTGACAGCAGTTAAAACTCAGCCACAGGAGACATGCATCACTATTATTATGCATATGCTTTACAACCCCCACACTTCTTCTTCATCTCTGCTTCCTGCCCACCCTGCTACTCTCACCCCCTGTTGTTTGCGTGCCCCCTCATCCCTCTTCTTTTTTCCTTTTCCAGGAGCTGAAGTTACCGGTCTACCGGGCCCACTCTCCGCAGATTGGCATGCGGCGGTACTTTGCTGACTTGTTGGCAATCCTGAGCAATCGCTACCAGCTCTGCCCGACAGCACGTCACCTGGCTGTCTACTTGCTGGACTTGTTCATGGACCACTATGATGTGGCTGTCAAGCAGCTCTATGTCATTGCTCTGTCCTGTCTGCTGCTAGCTAGTAAGTCCAGAAACATCCTTCCAGCTTGTTATCTAAAGCCATCTCCACGCTACTGGTTTTCTGCTTTGCATGAACATTTGCTTACTCAAACGCTACATTTTTAAAGTAGTATTCATACCAATTATCCTTGTGGGCACTGTTTTGCAGAAGTGTAAACTAAACTCTAGCACAGCTGAACCTTTACTAAGATTAGGGTTTGCATTTTACATCGTCCCTTAACCTCACACTCACTTCTGTCTGCTGCTAGCTAGTGAGTCCACAAACATCCTTCCAGTTTTCTAAATTCATCTCAATGCTTTTTTTAGGTTTTAAGAAGTTTATTCTTTGCAGGAACATTTACTTACTCTTACTTGCCATGTTTTGGTTCATAATCATTATAATTCATATTTTGGGCATGTTTGTGTTTTCATCTCAAAGATTTTTGCATTTTTACTGAACATGTAAAAACAGAAGTGCCTCACTGTAAATCTCCTGAGCTAAAAGAGACATTGTGACTGTGGTTTATGCACACATGGCTTTAGGTGAAACTTCCTGCAACAAGGCTAATTTAAGCTACACTCAAGAGACCATGACGTTTCTTTTTTTTTTCTTCCTTGCAGCTCCTGTTTTTAAATTGATTTGAACAGCATTGACAGTTAAAATGATTTTCCCTTAACTGGCTTTTTCGCCTTTATTGATAGAGCAGTGAAAGATAGACAGGAAAGTGGGGAGAGACCTGTAGCAAATGGCCGTGGGCGGAAGTTGAACCCACGACCGCTGCGTCTGGGACTATATAAGGGGCACCGTCTTATCCAGTTGGGCTACTGGGGCGCTCCAACGGCATTGACAGTTAACTGATAACAGAAATGTTGCCTTAAAAATAAACAAGGTTTCCAGTGTAGTAGGTGCTGTTGTTGTGGGACAAACAGTTGGGGCTTATGCTCAAGTCTACAGATCTTTATCTATGGCTTTGATCCTGGATGTAATATGATCACTAGTGCTGCTTCTGTTGCTTAAGTCGGTTTGACATGAGCAAGCTTAGCACCTTCCAAGGTCAAAATGTCTTCAGATGAAAGGTGCACTCATTTTTCTTTTTTTATTCCTTTACTCATACTTTACCCTTTTACTTAAAACATGTGCCTACCTATTGCAGAGGGCAGCCCATCCACAAGCTCCCTACGAACACATTTATTGCCTTTGGACTATGATTATCTATTGGCCAGGTTTTAATATAGTAACCATGGAGATATTTTGTATTTTTCTTATTGGCAGAAAATAGGTAAACTCACCAACATCCAGAATGATTGATCCTACTACTTTTGATATATCCTAGTCCTCTATTCCGTCGAACTGTCTTTGTTGTCCAAAACCTATTGAAAATGAGTCGGTGTGCACAGATGCAGGGGTTGTTTTTGAGTTGAAGATGCATCCCTTCTGAAGCCATCTGTATTTCTGTTGAGTGAATTAGTGGTTTGGTTTGATTAATATCCAGCGTGCTTCTCTGCTGTGAAATCTGGAAGTGTTTCTTTGTGTTTCGTATAAAGCAGGTGTGTTATTCATCCTCTCCCTGTTGATGCATGGTGCAGGTTTTGTGGTAGTTATCAGTGTCTCTGTGTCTGTCTGGTGATTAACAGACTGTGAGGTTTTCTGTACATTAATGCAGCCCTTGGCATCATGGGTAATTAGACTAATGATGCTGTCAAAGTAAGAGTCTGGAACAGGGCCTGCTCACTTGGGAAGGCTCAGTGTGTGTCTATGCACAGTCGTGTACAGGCCATCTTTGCAATCAGAGAAGTCTCTGTGGTGAGATAAATTTGAATACGAGACTTGAAAGAGATTTTATTTAAAAGCAATCTCATGAGAATCTGATAATAGTTTTCAGAGTTTGCTAATTTAGTGAGGTAAGTATTATCAGGCCAACCTGGACAAAGGGTTTTCTTCTAATCTGTAATAGATTAATACCGTTTTTCATTGAATCTTTTGATTGTGGCTTCAGTTAGTGAGGCTCTCTTGTCTCTGTACTCCTGCTTCTGACTCCTCCAGGACTCGAGGGAGTCTCTGTCATGATTGATGAAGGCTTGAAAGGGCGTTTGATTCAAAGTTGTCTTGGGTTTTCATCTGTCCTGAGGTGCTTTGGAATCTGGCCTAGTTATTGAACAACCTCACCAGGTCTCACTGCCTGTCTTTGACAGGCACATACATTGTCTTTCTTTAAACTTTCCTAGCTTCCGAAGTCAGTTAATTAATCAGTACTTCTTTTGTGCCTCTCAGCAGTCACTGCTTAATCCCGTTACTCCATTCTATGTGTGTTTTTTGGGTGCTTGTCTGTTCATGTGGTTGTTCATGGATGAGCTCCTCCTTATTGCCAACAGTAAAATTATGTTCAGTTTTTTTTTTAAACCCATAGAGACTGAGTGTTATTGACACCTATGGTGATTATTTAGAGACCTCACTTCACTCTAGAAAGACAGTTATTAGGAAAAACAAAATAAGCATTTGAAAGTCAATTCACATCCTGAAAATTAAATTTCTATTGTGTTACATTCCATGAAGTCCTGCAGTGACCACATCAATCTTTATGGCAGGTTTTCTGTCCCCTAAGTCAAAGCTCTGCATATTGCAGCTATTTGTTATCATAAGTGGATCGTGGATGTGTCTCTGCTGTTGTCTTGATCTATTTAGTGATGTGTCTGTAGCAAGATATTGCTAAAGGTGAATTTCATACTATCCTTCCAGTGAACTTGATTCAGTGAAGTGTCTCCAACAAAAAAAGAGCATCCTGTGAAATGACCGAGCACGAGAAGCTCAGTAATGTTGACTACACAGTGCACTTACATAGGCTATGGAGCCCGGGGGTGGGGACGAGCTGTGTGCCGAGGGGCACCTGCCATATGCTCTCCGAGTCAGGCCTCAAACAAAAGCCAGTCAATGCAAGCAGGACAGCCAGCCAGCCAGCCAGACCCTTCCCAGAGAGGGGGAGGGGAGCACACTCTCAGGGGTGGAGGTTGCTGTGTGTGCAGGCGTGTGTTTGTGTGTGTATGGTAGAGATTTGCCGTAAGCTAACGTTGCTAAAAGAGGACATGGTTGCTGTGGCAACCTTAGACTAAACCTATGGATTCCTTTCTTGTGGTCAGCTAATTAAGATCCACATGGAAAGCTAATCTGTATTGAAAAAGCACTGCAACTACTACTGCCACATAGCCATTTATCCGGCTGGGTTCCAGTGGTGTCCTTTTACCTTTTTGCTGCTGGCTCTGTTTCCTCCTTGTTCTCTCACCTTGTCAGGGTCAGGCAGAACGAGCCAGTCCTGGGACAGGGCGGCCAGTAAAAGCAGCCCCACATCCCTGGGGGGTTGGGAAATGAGTGGAGCGGTACTTCAAAGACAGGTTGGCTGCTGATGTTAAACAGGGTAGAAAGGGAGGGAGAGGTGGTGGCCTGCAAAATGGGACATGTTAGAACTGAACCACCCAGCAGGATGCCCTGAAATGTAGATTAATGGGGAACCCACTTCCCCCTTTATCCCAGTCTCAGAGGTTTGACAGTAATTCTGATGGAACTGTTGTCATGTGGGGCTCTCACAATTAAAGAAATTATGCAGAGTTGCATAGATGGATTTGGAAATGTTAGTATTATTCATGATTCTGAGATGCAACCAAAGGAAGCAGTTCACATTTTTAAAATCAGTTTTGTGATTATAATCCACAAAACCGCAGTGCACGTTTCCGCATTTAGTCAAATTTTGCGTTTTGTGTATTGCCTGAAGCTGTGTTTGCCTACATGCGCCCTGTGTTACCACCCATACAGCAAGACGCTTCACACCCTCATTCAATGAATCCCCCCCCCATGCTAACATGCATGCACGCATATATATATATATATATATATATATATACACACACATATATATATATATATATATATATGCGCACAGGGCTGGCGTTTCCATGATTCTCCCTGGTCACCCAAGCATTCAGCATCAGGGGTCAAGGGTCGGCCCCAGCCTACATTGTGAGAGCGAGAGCTACCAGGACCAGGGGTGGCAACACACAGATTCTGTGATGGAGCTGTGACCAATTTCCCGACTCCCAATGAAAGATGAACCAACAAATAAAAGGGGTTTAAAGAGCAGAGGAAATTCCTTCATGGCTGTCAAGCTGAAGAGAGAGAGTAGGAGAGAATGAGGAAGAAAGTTAAGATTGCTTGAAAAGTGCTATTTTCTTTATCTGTGTTTATTAGCAAGGTAATTATTAACATTAAATGATGGGAAATATGTTGACAGTTATGCAGCCTTGTCAATAGATTTATTTTTGGCTTTGTCCAGCGTTGCCATTTTGAACAACTTTTTATCCCTTTTGTGTTTCTTCTAGTTTCACGACATGTTCTCCACTAATGGAGTTTCAGAGTTTCTTCTTTAATAACTACCCAGTGATCCTGTTTTATTGGAGCCCTCAGCACTTTGGGTACCATTTCACAAAAGTTAATTTCTGGCAGTTCCAAAACTTCTGTGAGACATCTACATCTAATGATATTGTACATCATACAAATGGTCAGAGAGCACCTTTCTGACATCTGTTGTTGTCCATTATCTAATCCGATGTTCTGTGTAGACTCTATGCAGAGTGTACGAAAGTGGCGTGCACCATTGTGAGCATTTATACTTTTGTGCTTGTGCGCCTCAGTCACTCTGCAATTACACCATCAAAGCACCAGTCGGTGTGGTTTCTGTGCCTCTGTGCTGAGTTTCTTAATGCACTTACAAACAATAGCAACTGACCTATCACAGTTGTTGCTGTCTATGTTACCCTGATGTGTGGTTCTATTTCTATGCCTGTGCACGTCACAGAGGTAAAAATCAGGCTTAACTTTCTAAAACTCACTATCTAACTCTGATACAGAGTGATTGGGACCCTGTGCAGAAGTGATACCGAAGCAGGACTTTGCACTTTCAGCTCCTTTTTTTTTTTTTTATTTGATGTTGAATGTGAGACTATAACCCTTGTTTGACCCTTGACAAGTGCTAA